AAATGAGCACAAGCCAGAGGAAGATGATACAGAAGAAATTCAAAATCAGAAGCTATAAGCTTAAGAGCGATGCCCTAGACGAGATTCTACGCTTCGCCGGCGAATATCCCGACGACACTGAAGGAGAAATCATCGATCTTCTCCTCGATAACCTCCAGGAGGAATCGAGTATGCCCGATTGATTTCCTCGTATATAGTGCGTATTGATTTGATCAATCGACGAATCTGATAATCGTTTTGTGGATTTGTGAAATATGTTGTTGCAGTTAAAGATTCCTTAGTCGATGCGGAGACAGTTCGACGAGTGATTGATCCCCTTTTGAGAGCTAGTAACGCCCCCGAAGAATCTACCACCACCGCTACTTCCTTGACTGTACTCGACGCGTTTCTCGTGCCCAAGTATCGATACGATACTGTTAAGAAGCAATTCATCGAGTAAGGCTTTTTGCTTTTTCAATTCTGGGCCAATTAATTGGTGGTAAGAACTTCATTGTGAAATGGTGAATTGGGTTGGCTTTCTTCTCTAGAATTGAGCGACGTGAATCTGTTCTTTTCAGGCATACGAGTAGCCTGCCTGTTCACGGGGAGGCTTCTGCGAAAACGGAATTATACAGAGAACGATACATGTTGCTGAAGCAGAGAGTTTCTCGTGCTGAGCATTTTTCTAGGCCAACTTTTGATGCTGAAATGTCGCAATTCGACAATGATGGGGTTGGTTTTTAGTTTCCTGTTTGTTGTTCCCATTTTCCTTTTGTGTGTTTTAACTTCAAGCTTAAAAACTAAAGGAGTTTTATTGCATCTTAATTAGATATCTTCAATCCAGTCTCTGATTGTTGATATTGGAAGGAAATGGGTGATGGGCGTGATATCGCAATTGGAAGATGGACATTTCTACTTGGAAGACGATTCAGCTTCGGTAGAGATTGATTTGTCCAAAGCAATATCCTTTTTTTTTGTTAAGTTGAAAATCTGCAAAGGCTGACATTGCATTTCAAGAGAATATTTAGTTTCATACATTATAAAGGCGTAGCAAAGAATTGCATTTGAGTTCTATGTGCTGTGAATACTTTTCTTTGACAATCAGTACAAGATAACAACAGGATTTTTCACTGAGAATACTATAATTTTGGCAGAAGGCAAAATGCAGAATGGTATCTTTCAGGTAAAATACACCAGGGAGATATTTGTATAACATGCTGAGATACACATTCATAGGTTCTATGATTTTAATAGATTTTTCATATTGAGATCGAGATGTTAGCTACGCCATGTGTAGGGTCTCCTCTGTGACCAACAATATGTTCACAGGTCTCCGAAAATACTTAAATAGATTTAATGGAATATGCAAATGTATATTCCCATCAGTTGAATGATGGCCTGTACTGAAGCTCAGTTTTAAATGAACCTTTAAAAGGTTCAAAATACATTCTTTGACTAACTCGTCCTCTTCTAAAAGCTTTTTCTCATGTGTTGGTGAAGGTGATTACATGCGGATTTCCTCCTTTAGAAGATAGGGATAAAACACTAAAGACACATTCTGGATACGACTTCTTCGGAGGTGGAACGCTAACTAAAGAAGAGACGGTAATCCCTGAGTTGTTGTTTGTACTCTTGGATTGAGAAGTTATTAATTGCTAGTCCAATGTCTTGTATTGGTAAGTCACAGCAGAAATAATATGTTCATCTTGCCTCTGAACAGATTAGACTTGCAGACCTAGAAATACAAGCGGTGAATGACACATTTGTCATATTGTCTGACATATGGTTGGACGACGAAGAGGTGAGTTGGAGTACCAACTATCGTATTTTTAGCATAAATCTTTATGCAGTGCCTTCTTTTGTGATTTGAGAGCACTTAAAAGCATTGGTTGATCGCCTAAATGTGTTGTCCGTAGAGAAGGTTCTCGGGAAGCTAGAAATGGTTCTTGATGGTTTTGAAAGTGTGGAGATAGTACCCTCCTTGTTTGTTTTCATGGGAAATTTTTGTTCTCGACCATGCAACTTATCCTTTGGTCCTTATTCAAGCCTTAGGTAAGGGATCATTGTAGTTACAATCTCTTCAATCGTCAGCGGAAACATGTGCATATATATTCTCAATGACATGTATCTGTTTCATTTGCAGGGAGCAGTTTGGTAAACTTGGTAGAATGATTGGAAACCATCCACGGCTAAAAGAAAATAGTCGGTTTTTATTCATCCCAGGTCCTGATGACGCAGGTACCATTCACTCACAGCCGTTACTATCTAAATAACCTTTAACAGCGTCCATGAGGGGGCCTGATGTATAAAATGATGTCTGACAGGTCCCTCGACAGTCTTGCCAAGATGCGGTTTACCAAACTATTTAACGGAAGAGCTTCAAAACATTATTCCCAATGTGATATTTTCAAGCAATCCTTGCAGGTGAGTTTTCTATACGATGTGTGAACTCTCTATCGCTTATCATTAGGGTTTTAGTCTTCTGAATTACTGAGATGGAACATTTGATATACTGAGATGGAACCGAACACAGCAGCAGTAGCCATGATCTTGTCTTTGTAAAATGCAGGGTAAAGTTCTACAATCAGGAGATTGTGTTCTTCCGACAAGATCTTCTTTATCGGATGCGTCGTTCATGTTTGATAACTCCTTCCAAAGAAGAAACTGATGACCCTTTTCAGCATGTAAACACATCTCTCGTCTCCATTCTTTTGATTTTAAATGTTCTTTTCGGGTAATGACATATAACCTGAAATGTGTTTGGTACAGCTTGTCTACACAATAATTCATCAGAGCCATCTATGTCCCCTACCTCTCATGGTGCAACCCATCATCTGGAACTATGATCACGCTCTTCGACTATACCCAACTCCTCATACGGTATTATCCATTTTGAATTCCGACTAGTGGTGGAGCACGAAATTCGTCTTTAAACTGAAAGAACTGTCGTTGTTTTGAAAACAGATAGTATTAGGTGACAAGAGTGACCAAAAGGTGTGCAAATTTGGTGGAACAACATGTTTCAATCCAGGCTCCTTTTCAACCGATAGCACCTTCGTAGCTTATCGACCTTCCACTCAAGAAGTCGAGCTCTCTGCGTTGTGATTCTCTTTTTAAGCATTTTTTCAGACAAGCCTGAGCTTAAAACATTAAAGAAAGAGAGTGACGTAACATATCTCCTCTTTGCTTATCATCTCCTATGGGATGTCTTAATTTAACATATATTGGTCATAAATTTTATAATCATTCAATTTCATCATAGATCATGTGGATACACCTGAATATAAGATGAATAATTAAACGAACGGTTGGTCGAAAATCGCTTAAATTTAAATATAAAATTGCCATTATAATAAGGTCAAGAAGTACATATTCAATTAAACTATAGAAAAGCGTTTTCTTTCAGACAAAACTGTAAAAAGCTGATTGTGTTAAAAAAAAACACAACGACAATTGTGGCAAAATCAAGACAGCTTTCTGGAGAGGTTAATCAAGCCACTTCCAACGCAAGAGAGTTCAACGGTGCCTGTGTGTGGATCAGGTTTGAACACAAACTGAACTCCCAAAAACTCTTTTATGTTTCTCAACGTCTCCACTCCATAAGGAGATAATGTTCCCACTCGAACCTTTGACACATCTTGTTGACATAACGCACAAAGTATGAACAACAATCCCTGGAAAAACAAATCTATGAGAATCAGTAAAGGCTTTACTTTGAAAAACAATCGATTATCCTGTGTTGTTATGTTAATCATTAGAATTTTAATCGCACCTGGTGTGATGAATCAACAACTCCGCCTTTTTCAATCTCATGAAGAAGCCATGAAGCTATTTCCACTCCTGTGTCTTCTGCTGGCAATCTCACTACCTTCTCTACATCGAGCTCTCCTGTTTCGTCTCTTCTTCCGCAAGACACTGCTGTATCTGCAGAGATGAAACACTCTGTAGTTGTTTCCGCTACCAATGATATCCCGTATCCAGGAGAACTGCAATCAAGTATTTCTTATAATTTAGCTTGAGCTCTAAATTAACACACTGAATTGTTTATAAAGTTTGAAAATTTTCTTACTTCCCAGCCTGAGGGCCAGATTTGTGATCTTCAAAAATGTGAACATCAGGCAAGAGGTTGTTAAAGATCCCACGAGCTGCGAATCTCATGGAATGTTCAAAGTCTCTAGACACTCTTGTAGAGAAAGTACAACCACGTATCCTCTTCACCATTCCTTCATTTGTCCATTGAACCGCCTGAAGCAGCGATATAACCGATAAGAAATCCTGATGCACAGAAAATAAGCAAGGAAAAAAGAAAAGAAACGAAGAGGGTGCATACAGTTAGGGTCTGAACATTTGGAACCGTTAACAGAACTTCTCCACCTCCACCTGGAGCTACTCCACGGGCTTCGATTCTAAGCTCCAAACCTTCCGAAGGCACTCCAAAACGCTTTAAGATACGTAAGGTAGTGGAACGGAATGTGTCAACGCTCGGGTCTCTTGGATCATTTGTGATTCCTGCAAAAAGAATTATCTCCTTGCTTGATCATAATGAATCTACATGCTTCTTTGTAAACCGTTTTTCTCTTTCAAATTTACTCTACAGAAGCTTGGAAATTGCCAGATTAAGGATTAATGCCTACAACTCGGGATTCATTCGGTCAAACCAAGTTCGACAATCGATACAATACCAAAACACATTCAACTATCATTACTCTAAGCTTTATATCTTCTTCAAGCCCACACCGGATAGAAAAGCTAACAGGAACTCAGGTTTTTGCAAATGAAAATGCATTATTTGAAGTAGAAAAACTCGCAAGAACAAAACAACTTACCTCTAAGCCTAATCGAAAGGGGCTTCTTTCCAAATAAACCTAACACAAGCAGAGGCTCCAGATAATAGCCAATGGATCGACTCAACGCACAGTTATGAACCAAGTTCTTCCCTCCCATTATAGTTCCAGGCTTGTACTTAAATTGAGTTCCTGCAAAAGAGATACAACACCATATTAAAAACCATCGACCAATTCTGATAGAGAAACATAACACATTTTAACAATTCAAAACAACTTGCAAATCATCAATACTCAAACTGAATATAATAAAATCCAGACTCAAGTCAATGAGATATGTCTCATTTGGATAAGCAGCAGAGATTAGCTGAAGTATAAAGCCACACAGGAAGTTATCAAAATCAACGAATCAGTCCTAAAAATGAGCCACAAATTGGTTAAAGTCTCCTGAGCTGGGAAAAAAACCATAACGTGGAACCGACCAAACAGTACTTACCGGTCTCGTTGATCACAAGAGAGCAATCGTCGGAGACAGCTTCGAAGAGTCGGAGAAGAGAAACCTCGTGAGGACGGAGACCAGGCATCATGTCGTCGTCGCGAATCTCTGAAATTGAGATAGGCGTCGAAGAAAGGGTCGAAAGAAGCAGTCTCTGCCTCAAGCTCTGGCTTCCCTTCAGCCGCTTGTACGTCGTCTTCTCCATTATT